GCACCTGTGCCCGGGCCCGGCGGACGGCGAGGAGGGAGGCGCTGGCCTCTCCTCACCGCGGCGCTCCAGGAACCGCGGCCCGGCCCGCGTGCATCCCCCGCCGCTCCTCCCGACTCCTGGGTCCCGCAGCCCCGGCAGCGGACGGCGGGACAGACTCTTTGTTACCTAGCGTCCGCGGTTTCCGGGTGCGGGCCAGCAGCCGGAGAGCAGCCGGAGCCGGGCGAAGGGGGACGCGGCCTCGCGTAGGGGGACTCGCGAACACCCCGGCGCTTTCCAAGCCAGGCGCCCTGCCGGGTCACCCCTACCACCCCCACCGGCGCTTGGGGACTTTCAATAAAGCCCGTCGCGCTCGAGGACGCTCAACTCTGCGCCGCCAGTCTGTGCGCGGTTTCCGGAAAGCCAGCGGAGGGGTCCTGATGTGGGAACGTAGGCACCTACAGCGGATGCCTGGATGGTTCGAAATTGATTGTAGTTTGCAACCTTCTTGGAGTCTGGAGGACGTTTTGTTAGTGTCACTTCTTCTATTTGTCAGATGTTAGCGCTATACCGTGATTCTTTGCAACAACAAGTTAAAAGAATAAAGGACAAATGTGTGAGGCATATCTCTGGGCACCCCTATTTTGGTGGCCACGAGACTGCGGCTTGGACCACCCCGAGGGGTGGGGAAAGGGTGGTCACCGGCTGGGCTTTTTGGCCCCGACATGGGGGCGGAGACCCGGAAAGGCACTAGAAACCCGGAACCGATTTTCTCAGGTCTTCTTGGGTGTAAATCTGTGCTTCTTTCGGTTCTCAGTGTCCGCGCCTTCAGGGGAGGGAAGAGGAGATAGCTAGGGGCTTCGACCCGGGGGTCCGAGCTGGCTCTCTGCAGCGACGACGCACTGCGCGCCCCGAGGCTGCCGGGCGGTCCCCGGTGACCGTGCACTCCGCTGTTGCTTCGTTCTAGTAATGGCCAAATTGTGGGTCTGCGCGGCCGGCGCCGGGTTTTTTATTGCATGTGTGGTTTTGCAGGAGCGTTTCTGTGGCCCTGGGGTGAGTCGATTAGTGAGCAGATCGCCGTCGGGTAGTGTGGATGGCGCTGACGTTGGGTGGTGGCCCCGGTTCCCTCCCGCACCAGCTCGTCCCAAAACCCGGACGTGAGGCCGAGCCGCTGACAGGTCACCTGGTCTGTTAGTGTTACAAAGTGTCACTGTGGATGGCATTTGCTCTTGTTCCTCGACTCCTACTGCATCCTCGAATAATTTACAGACCTTATTGTGGCCATTTTGGTCTGCAGGCTTGTAAGCCTATTTCTTAGGAATCATTTCAGTCCAGCAAGCTTCAAACCCACCCCAGCCCACCGATTTTCTTATCTAGAGGGCAGACTGAATTTTAATCTTCTGCTTTTCCGTAAGATCTTAAGGAACTTTGCTTTTCAAGTTTCCTGGAGAAGGGAGAAACTTCTCTACCGGCTGGATTTGGGTTGGCCTGATTATTCAGAATACTTCAGTGGAACAACATTTTGTGTTGCAGTTGATTCTCTCAGCGGATTAGTTTATGTAGCTCAAGTAAGTAAAACGGGAATTTTTTTTAAAAAAGATGAACACAAAGTAAATTACAGACTTTGTGTTTTACTGTACTAAGTCACCGTATACGTTTCTGGTATGCTACTTAGGAAGCTTTGGAGGTTTCAGGTAAATGTTTTGATTTTGAACATGATATTCTGTATATATTGTTAGGTTTTGAAGTGGGTTTTTCAGACAATACTAAATTTCTCAATTAACCTTTCAGTTTTGTTTCTCTCTGATAAAATGAAGACTACGGTTGCTTAAGACCGATCCTATCTAAGCAGTTATTTTTGCATACCTTCAGAGAGGGGATAACATCCCAAAAGTGTTAGTGTTCACAGAGGATGGATATTTCCTGCGAGCCTGGAATCACACAGTCGACACACCTCATGGTATGTTTGCAGCCAGTGCACCATATGAGCAGTCCGTCTGGATCACAGATGTAGGAAGTGGTATGTGTAGTCGTATCTATTGACTTACCTTACTGGAAATCGCATCCTTGCCCATGCTCTTGCTTGTACATTTTAAAGTCGGAGTTGATAAGAGGCCTTTTCTCTTTAAAACTATCAGTTACTCTTCTCAAACTAAGTCCACACCTCTTCTGCAGTGCCGGATAAAATGCCAGTCTTTTGAAGGAGAATTAATAGAATCACGGGCTCATTTTCTTTGCCGGTTCTCTTTCAAAAGAGATTGTGCTAAGAAGCCATGACTGCTCTGTTGTCCAGAGTGCAGAGAAACTGCTAGTCATGTCTGAGCCCTTCCCACCTGCAAATATTTTCAGTAAACAGTGCTGAAGTTAGAAGTAGGCGCGATTGAAGTTATAGGTATGGCGGAAGTTTGCAGAGAACGCGGTTCGTTTGTGCCTGTGAACTGAAAGCAAGACTGGAGAAGGGCCGGCGTCCCCTTGAGAACTAAGGAAGGTATAGGATCTTTTTTTTTTTTTTTTTTTT